TCTTCTTCTTCTTCTTCTTCTTCTTCTCTTCTTCTTCTTCTTCTTCTTCTTCTTCTTCTTCTTCTTCTTCCTCTTCTTCTTTCTTCTTCTTCTTCTTCTTCTTCTTCTTCTTCTTCTTTTTCTTCTTCTTCTTCTTTCTGTACAAGGGATTGAACTCAGGTCCTTATGCTTGTGGGGCAGGCAGTGGAACCATTGAGCTAAATCCCTGGCCCCCATCCCAGCTCTTTTTAATTTTTAATTTTGAGACAAGATCTAAGTTGCCCAGGCTGGGCTAGAGCTTGTGATCCTCCTGCCTCAGCCTCCCTGAATGCCAGGATTACAGGCTGTACCCTCACTCCCGACCTTGGTTTTGCCGTCTGAGCATGCGGTTCCCCTTTGGTGTCCTGTGTGCTGTGAAGCTTCCTGGCACAGTCCTGCCTCCTGGGCCTGATGCTTTCTGTCACTGTTTGTGCCTTGTGTCCGCACTCAGCTGGGGGCGACCTCAGGGGATGACAGGTGTGCTAACAGTGAAATCCCTGAGGCCTCTTGTGTCTGCTAACTTTTATAGGATTCTTGTTTGGTGCTGGAATAAATGTCATTATTGGCCTAGTTCTTGAGATAGTTTCACATGCAAGGGGGTGGGGGAGAATCGTTACATCAGTGACTCCATGACAATCCCAGCTCAGACTGGAGGGAGGGAGAGGAGGCAGAGAGGGAGAACCATTAGGAATACTTTATGATGCATGCCTGTGATTCCAGCACTCAGGAGGCTGAGGCAGGAGGATTGCTGCAAGTCCAAGACCAGTCTGGGCTACATAGTGAGGCCCTGTCTCAAAAACAAACAAACAAAAAAACAAACAAAAACAAAAACAAGAGCACAGCCATAAGTCAGAAACCAGAGTCCAGTGGGGCAGGAAGTTGGGGAGTTCCTGGTGCTCTCTTGTATCATATGGCCCTGCCCCTCTGAGGAGAAGGTAACGGTGAGCTGTGATGAGGATAGGAAGGGACTAAATAAGGGAGGAGTTAAATAAGAGGTGGTGTCTCGTGGCAGTCCGTGGCCATCAGGAAGTCCGAGGATGGGAACTTTGAAGAAGGATCCCCGGGCGGAAGTAAAATGGCTGCTGCTTCAGTTGGCCCACCTGGAAAAAGGTCTTGGAAACGGGACTAAACATACGCTCAGCCATGTATTTAGGGATGCTTTGTAGTCTCAGCACTGCGGGAGGCTGAGGCAGGAGGTTTGCAAATTCAAGTTGCCCCTGGGCTACTTAGCAAGATTCTATCTTGAAATAAAGAATAAACAGGGCAGGGTCTGTGGCTCAGGGTAGAGGTCCTGGTTCATTCTGCAGGGACCAAAGAGAGAGAGGGAATGGGAGAGAGAGGACACGTCCTGATGAAATACTTATTCCTGGCACAGGCCCTGCTTTCCCATGGACCTTTGCACTTAGGTTCAGAGTTCCTCTTTCTCTTTTTGAGGCCTGGTCAGAGAGCCGGCTCCCCAACAAACTTCTCCAAGCTCATCAGCAATGGTTACAAGGACGAGTGGTTGCAGCAGCAGCAGCTGCGAGCTGACTCTGAGAAGAGGACCTGGAAGACGTCCAGGGTGTCGGTGTCATCCCAGTCCACGCGGGACCCCAAGGGACTCCAGGATGTAGCATCACCACAGGACACACAGGCTCTGGAAGTCTCCGAGAAGGCTAAAGGTACAGTGTGCCCCGCCATCCCTGTTTCCCTGCCCCATGGCAGTTGTTTTGTTCATTTCTTTTTGGATAGTTCACTGTCAACATACAGAATGGTAACAATTTCTGCATGTTAATTTGTCTTTGGCAATTTTACTGTATTTTTTTGTCAGGACTAAGAGTTTTTTGATGCAGTTCTTAGGGTTTTCTATTTACAATGTTATGTTGTCTGCAGAGACAATGTAACTATGACTCCCTAACTCAGATGAATTTTCTTTCTTTTTCTTGCCTTATTGCTTTGGCTAGCATGCGCAGCACTATACTGAATAGAAGCAGCGAGAGTGAGTGCTCAGTCTTCCTGACCTCACCGGAAACACTTCTGGTGGTCACCACTGAGCATGATAGTAGCTGTGGACTCACCAGCATAGGCTCTTATGGGCTGAGGTGCATTCGATCTGCAGTTCATTTGTTGGGAGCTTTCATCAGGAGAGAATGTTGAATTTTTGAGGCAATGAAATATTCATCTACATGTTTGATATATTTTTTGTCCTTTGTCCTGTTAATGTGGTCATCACATTTGTTGATTTGTGTGTGTGAGGTCATTTTTGCACACCAGGGATAAATCCCACTGATGGTGGTGACTGATCCCTTTAATGTGTTTTTGAGTGGGGTTTGATGGTAATTCGACAAGGATTTTTTTTTTTTTTTTTTTTT